GGCGCACCGTTGACCGGGTTGAGGCTCCAGTTCCGGCCCAGCTCGGGGAGCGCGGGGCTCAGCTGGAAGTGGAAAGGGGCGCCGTGGGGCGGCAGGTCCTCATCGGCGGCGCCCAGCAGGAGGCCAGGGCCCTGGTGCGGGTCGCCGCACAGGCTGGGGGGCAGCGGGGCGACCAGCGTGGGGGCGTGGTCGTTGACCTCCAGGATCTCCACGGACAGCGTGCCGGTGGCAGTGCGAGGTGAGGAGGCTGCAGGCGAGGAGGGCTCAGTGTCCCTGCGTCAAGCCACGACCCACCCTGCCAGCCAGCTCAGGAGTGCCAGTGCCCAGCCCCGGGCAGGCCTCCGCCACCTGCGGGCACCCAGCCGGGCAGGCAGGTCAGGGGCCCCAAGCTAGGCTTACCGTCATCCTGGGCCAGGATGATGGCCCGGTACCAGCCATCCTTGAGGAAGGGAGAAGTGGGACTGAGCACCCGCTGGGTCTGGATGCGCCCAGTGGCCCCGTCCACCTGCAGCCAGTCCTCGGGGTCATAGTCCTTGGAGTAGCTGGTGGAGGGAGGGGAGGAGTGGGTGGGGGTCCCCAGAGGTGTGGCCACACACACCCACACACCTTGCACACATGCGCACGCGCACACACACACGCAACCACAAACACACACATATACTACACATATACATGGATGAGCACACACATGCACACTACATGCCACACACATGTGCACATGCACATCCATCACACACACCACACACATGCAGCACATACCACGCACACATGACCCAGCACATATACACATATTCACACACATTCACACACTACACACCACACATGAACATATATACACACGACACACATGCACATACCACATACATGCATGCACATTACACAATACACACTTGCACACACCACACACACCCACCTGGAAACACACATGCACTCTACACGCACCACACACCGCACACACATACATCACACATGCCTGCACACACATTGTACACATATACATCACACATGCATACACACGCCACACATAACCATGCACATACCACACACATAACCACACACACAGGCACACACAGTGGGAGCTGCAACCACCAGATCCTTCTGTGAGCCTTTGAGAAGGCTCCTTCTGTCCCACCCAGCAGGTGAGGAACCAAGGCTCGGGGTCCCAAGGCAACTGAGTGACAGCCTGGTTTCCATCCCAGCTGGGTCCAGACTCTTCAAGGCACCATAAAGAGTCACGGATGCATGGGTCCAGGCAAGGGGTCAAAGTCCCTCGGGAGCCAAGGGCAAGCTGGAAGGGACACGGCCAGACACTCAGAGGGGACCTGAGACCCCAGACCATCAAGAACCCACTGGGCCCTCAGAGCCCGGGGCCAGGGCCACCCTCTGCAGGAACAGGGCTGCAGCTCCCCTGCCTCCTGTAGGGCCTTTGGGGAGCCCACCTGAGCCTCTGCAGCTGCTCTGTGTCAGGGTCCTGGGCAGAGAAGATGGCCACCAGGGTTCCTGGAGGTGCCCCCTCAGCCATGCTAGTCCGCAGGGGGTTCTCCTGGAACACGGGGGCCTCGTTGGCATCCAGCACACGCACGCTGACCCTGGCCTGGCCCCGCTGGGCCCTGGGGGCGGCTGCCTGCAGCGGGGCCTCGTTCTGCACTGACACTCTGAGCACATAGTGCTCGCGGCTCTCGTAGTCCAGGGGCTGCAGGAAGAAGCAGGGCCGGCACCCTCAGGCTGGGACTGGGCCTCTGGGCGGCTGGATCTGTCCTCAGAGCCCCTACTTCCCTCTTTCCCCTTTTAACCTTGAAAAATAAAAAAAGTATGTGGGGGAAGAAAGGCACAGAGATTACTGCAAGAGCACTGGCTGGGTATGCTGGCGGTCGGGGAGCACTCTCCGGCCAGGCGTGGCTGTGGAGGTCCTTGGGAGAGGCCTGCAGCCTCTGTGATCAGTTGATTTTAAATGGAGGAGCATATCAGGGGTAATATGGTTGGCCTCACCACATGGGGGACAGCTTCAAGAGTAAAGCTGCACTTCCTCTGAGAAAGAAATTCTGCCTCAATACTGCAGCATCCAGACTAGTAATCCTGTAATCCCAGCACTTTGAAGGTCGTGGTAGGAAGATTGCTTGAGCCAGGAGTTCAAGACCAGCCTGGGCAACATAGCAAGACCTCATCTCTACACAAAATAAAAAATGTTTCTAACCTGCTCTATGGATTTCAGACCTGTGCAGCCAGATCCCACAATTGCATGAGCCAATCTCTTGCAGTAAATCTCTTACACGTTGACATCTAAGTACACCAATTTCTGCATCTGTTCATATGTGTCCCCTGTGGGCCCTGCTTCTCCACCAGGGTCAGGATTGGCACAGGCATGGACTCGCATTTCACACGTGGATTACTCTCACGAGGTGGGGGGATGCCGTGGTAACAGATGTGCAGGTCCCCTCACCTCTGGGCTCTTGCCCGTGGTCACCTGCTGGGACCTGCAGTCCTAGCCTGGCCAGTCCTCCTGCTGGTGCTGGGGTTGAGGCTTCCAGCCCTCCCCTGCTCACTCTCTCTCTCTCTCACCCGAGGACCAACACCAGATCCCACGTTCAGGGGTTGCAATCCTGCCGGGAAGGAGCCCAGAGCCCATGGGGGAGCTGTGAGTGCCAGCGGGCGTAGCTTACCTTCGCCACGGACAGCACGCCCTCGTTGGTCTTGGGGTCCGTGCGAACCTCGAACTGCCCATCGGGGTCTCCTTCCAGGATGGTGAACCTGGCCAGCCAGTTGGGGGAGCCTGGCAGGTCCCTGTCCTCTACCTCCAGCCGCCCCACATCCACTCCACTAGCGGCCTCTGCCGCCTCCATGAAGAACTGGAGGAGCCAGAGCACCACAGCAGGGTTGGGGGGGGGGGCAGGGGGGGGGGGGG